GCCCGACCCCGGATTCTGCGGCCGCAGTCCAATCACAAGCGCCTAACATTTGATTGGGCAGAGCAATTGACCACTCGAGCAGCGAGCGGACGGACATCGCTCGTCGTGCCAGTAAGAATGATCCAAATGGTCGAGTAATTATCACGCCAGTAAGAAAATCCGGCGACGAAAATACTGTTATTTGACGGTTCGGGTGCGCACGTGCAATTGATCATTGTACTAATTACCGCCGCCGCCACCACCACCGGCTACTGGACCTGGTCACTCTTAAGCGTATCCTCCGAATGCTCTCTTTGGCTGCCGGTGTTTTCTGTTTTTTTTTAGCTGACGCTATAGTACAGCACCACTTTAAAACGATCAAGCAATTTTCTGATCGCATCCTTAATGAGGTTGCTCACGCTCTCTATTCTGAACTAATAGCTGCGAAGTCTTTCCGTACAATGCGCCGAGGCCTCCGCCATATGTCTTGCCGTATATCGGCATATCAGCACTCTGTACTCCCATTCTTAGCACGCTACCTCACGTGTGAAGAAGCGGAAATTGAGAAGTTGAAAGCTGACCTGTCTCCATAGTGGATGCGGATATCGTGTGAACCTTTAATTTTGAATATTATCTGACCCTTTACCTTTGACCTTTTACCATGACCCTTTATTTACCTCATCCTTTGCTCTCCTAGAATGGAGCTATTTTTGCTGAAAGTTTGGGATATTCCATTCTAAATATAGCATTCCCCCCTCTTTCTCTCTACGGTAATTGTTTAAAGCCATAACAGTTGGGTTTTATAAATACCACACCCCTGTGCATTCATCACCCTTCTCGGTGGCTACTTATATTGATGGCGCGAATGAAAATCTGAGAGAGCAGGCAAACAACATTCTTTCAGAAGACGCATTGAGGTCAGTTAGCGGTAAAATGATTTAAGAAGTGAACCTTATATACTCCAAGCTCCGGCATTCTGTCGTACGTGACCGGGGCGTTTGGGTGGAAAAATAGGATATGCTAGCCTACAAACAGCATATATTACTCAAAGACAAAGCCACATTTGCCCTTGCATTTTTATTCTGACCCGTAACGGAATTTTCACACACTGGGCATTATATAGGGCACACACTCTTCTCTCGCTCCATTTAAACGTCCACGAGGTGGTTTTCGCCGTCTATCCGGGGAGAATGCGTATAGAGAAGATAAATCCGATCGCCCCGCCATCGAGGTTTATTAATTACGTTTACAAACGATGGCAAAAGCGTCACAGGTCATCGTTCGCAGCGGCTTACAAGCCTACTGTAAATCAAACCATCGGGTTTTCTTGTTTTTTTCTTTTGATGAAAAGAAGTGTACCTGCGCATAGAAGAGAATAGTTACTAATCAACTGCGGACATACTTTCCTAGAGTCATGAGCTTCAAGTGCTCGTTCATTTCGTCGAATGTCGGCCTGTGATCCGGTTTTTCTGACCAAGCTCGCTGCATCATTTCGAGGTACGCCGGTGGTATATCTACCTTGACAATCTAAAAACAATTGCCAAAGTTGGGAAAAATAAGGAACGCTGAAACACCGAGTTTACATGATTACAAATGAGGGTTTTTGTCGATCTATTTTCCGAGTGGGTTGCAGTATGTTAGACTGAATGGGTGAAGGGAAAACATACCAGAAGTCTACTCTATTAGTTTGAAAAATGTCTGGCCTTTTGAGAATTTAAGAAGCAGCATAAGAAAATCGTCACGTAGAACTGTCGTTCACATATCAGGCGCCCCGTATACACCTTCAGATAGCTTGGTCCTGTTCCCTACCAGCGAGGTATGCGGAAAGTCGGTGCAGACGCCGTTCAGTCACTCTTGTTATCTCCGTGTTTCTGATACATTACTCGTGTACAGATAGAAAATTCAATGGTATGTACTAACATCTTCATGCTTTGAGGCAACACCTGAGACTATCGGTTTGAAGTTTGTTTGTTAGTTTCCCCAGTTAAGGTTTATCCTTTGAGGAGAAATTTTAGCTTAATATGGTTGGTCGGCATTTACTATTCTGCGTTGTTCGATCCATATATATGCAAAGTGAGGATTAAATCGAAAGCTATTAATTAATCAGTAACTCTCTTTTATGATCTATTGATAGATTTAGATATGCCAGGGAAATACATTTCATTATATTCAGTGGTATTCAACATATTTCCATGCATAAGTAATTTTAAAAATGTCAAAACACCGGGTCGATAATTTGCTTCGCATGGCACTCTTATATATGCCCTCTGTAAATTGCGATCACAGAATTTCTAAAATGTAAAATCCTTATTGCAATGTGCGCAGATTTCGAACATTTACAGATTATAAGATTGTATTCGGTAAAAGTAGTTCTTTGGGAAAGAATATTTTAATGTGTGAATTTTCGACTCTGGTCCCCCCGTTCGTCTTCAGACATCAT